CTTATATGTTTTTATGATGAAGTGCCACAAAAAGGAAAAACACTACTGACTCCTCTTCTTTTCCTCCTCCTCTTTCATCTTCTTCTTTTCCTCCTCTTTCTCCATCTTCCTCAAAAGTGAAAAAAGAAAAATAAATTCTATTGTGTTGAAAATTTGAAAGAACCCCGAGCGTGGAAAAAACGCCACTGGGTTGAACATCCGAAAGAGGCCCATGGACGATAAGAAAAAGAAAAGAAAAAAGAAAATCCAAAAGAAACCTCGAGAATTGAAAAAAAGCCACCAAATTGAACACTTGAAACGATTAAAAAAACAGAACTAAAAGAAAAAGTTCTCTATATTTTTGTCTCATATCCATTATCTTTAGAAATTCTTCTTAACTTCTCCTCTCAAGTTAGAACAAGTCCAAGTAAATATGAGAAGCATCAACTATCTGAACTTCCAAGGGTTAGCAGTGGAGGAAAGAAGTTGGAAAGTCCGAGGAGATTCTGAACACATGAGCAACATCCCATTTTACCCAAGACATTGGCTTACTCAAAATCTTAAAGGAAACTCTCCCTTGAGTTGTGATACATGAGCCAACGTTGCAAGTTAAAAGAGAACTCAATGATTCCTTATTCTGAAGATCCAAAGCTAAGGCTCGGCAAGCTCGTATTAAAAAAATAAGAAAACAAAAACAAAAAATAGTTTCATGATGGCAAGATCCTAAACTGTCTATCAACCTATTTTTTGAATTTCTCCCTCTTTTTAAGAATTTTCTCCCAGGAGTTGGTGATTTAAAAAATCTTAGTTTCTTTGTTAAAATCATATGCCTAGTAACCTAGTTCTATTTTTCAAAATTTATCTATGTTTTACTAAAAATGATTTTTAAAAACAAAGGAGTTGGACCTCCCGTACATAATGCTACCGCGTTTCTGCCTTCTCTAAAATTCTAGAAGCATGGACTAAAACCCTCAGGAAAACTCATTTATAAGACGAACTAACATAGGTTCTTAAAACCTCAGCCTGAATCTATAATCATAAAAATTTAGAATCAAAGGTGAACAATAATTCAGTTAGCGAGAAAATCACTATCAATCATTATTATTTAAAATTTTCATTTGATTGAAAACCAGACTAAAAAACAAAGGTCTAAAGCTAAATATGACTATACTAGCATCCTAAATAGCATTAGGGTGACCTTAACAAGGAGAAGTCATGAGCTCAAAGCTAGTACGGTTTCTGCTGTTTGTCACATCGGATCTCAATTGTCGGTGACCTCTCAACACCACTGACCCAAAGGTAGTGTAGTACCCATTCGATGTCTTATGAATAAAAAATATCTATCGGCGTACTGCCTTCCTAATGGGTAGTGGTCATTTAAAAGGATGACCCCATTTTTCTTTCCATTGTCTCGGGTATCTACTTCTTTGCTATTCACCTGGTGTCTCATGTGAATGCCAAAGAGGGGAAACTGTAGACATCCCTTTGAAAATCTAACTAAGAGAATTTCTAAAAATCATGATTCTGAGTCCTAAGGACCACATTAATCCCTAGTGAGTCATAATCAACTTAGACCAATTTTAATTGTCCAAAACCCACCAAAATCTAGCCCAAGTTGTAATATGCTTTGAGAATTTCCAATGGTCAAAGGATCACCCGAATCGGACCTACGGATCAAAATTTTGGGTATGGGGAAGTTCACTTTGCTAAATTACAAAAATTAAGAAAATTCCCAGATAATTAGGAAATTCCTATAAAATTTCAAATAAATAGGGAAATGCTACAAAAATTTAGAATAAATCCTATACAGTAACGAAATTAATCCAAAAACCCTAGAAAAATAGGAAAAATTCTAAAACCCTTAGAAAATGAGGGAAAACCGTTGGAAAATAAAAAAAAAACAATAGGATAAAACCCCTAAGTTCAAATCCTCTCAAAATCCTCATCTTAAAAACAAGTTCTCCTCATATAAATCAAAACTTTAGAGTTATGCTTCAAGAAGGCAAGAGAAGACATTAAAAGGTGTAAATCAACCCGCAGTCCTGATACGGCCCCAACTCCGGGTTTTTCAAGTATGTGCTCTTTCTCTCTCTCTTTTATTTTAATTTATTTCTCTATTTTTTTTCTTTTTTTTTCTGGTTATTTCTTTATTTCTTAGATTTATTTGCATTTTATGAAGTCTTTAATCTTTAATATACATATTTTGAGCTGGTGCTGCCAGTATATTAAAAATATAACTAGATTTGTAAAGAATTGTGATGCTTCTAAGCCTATAATTTGAGTGACCCCACTCTCTCTATTGACCCCTAAAATTAACTCATTCTGCATGAGATTTAAATTGATCATGCTTTGAGATCAATGCAAATTCGAGCATAAATATCAAGGAATCTCCAATCCACAATATAGTGAATTGTACTGCCAATGAATGGGGTGGTATTTTGAACAAAATGCCCCTTTGCCACAGTGAGGTCTTAAGGGTGTGGCAGCCATCCATGCCTTCCTAAGGAATAATGTGCACCATAACATGTAGGCCGTGGACATAATTCCTTTTTCTTAATAATGGTGTGATCCAGTGGTTTGGAGAAGGGTGCCAATGGAAATTGTTGATGCCTACATCACTGGGAATGGTGGAACATTGAAGCTTATATTACTTAAGTATAGAACATCAAAGTTGAGCAACCGCCTCTTCTTTTGCTTTCCTTTGACTGTTGGGCCTAATGACCCAAGTCGTATTGGGGTTCACTCCATGATTCACATAATTGAGTCATGTTCGTTAGTCTCTAGAGAAAGTGGCGGATAAGAAATGGTATATGAAGGCTGTCCTGTTTCCTCGGACTCATCAACTATGCATTTGTCTTGTCATTAAGGAGGGAAAGAAATAAAAGTCTTTATCAGGGCTTTTAGGTACAATTGCAAGGATCATGTTGGGGCCCTTTCCTTTCCTTCTGAGATCTCTCGAAAGAAGAGATCAAGAGTGCCCCTATCGCCTGCAAATCGCTGCTCTTTATCTGTCTTGTTTGTTGGGGGAGTTGAGACTATAGCTCCAATTCAAGTCTCTTACTTGTCCGTGAGGGATGCTCAATGCATGCTACAAATGAGCCTCGTGATGATGTGCGAGGCACCTTACAGTATCATTAGGTGCTAGGGGTGTGCTCAAATCATCATATTTAACATCAGTTGTGACTTCATAATTTTCATGTCAATCATACCTCAAAAGAAAATATAATACAAAATAGCTAGAATAGACTTTTTCAGGATTCAGAACTCAAATAAGTAAGGTTATTACGATAATTTAACCCACTTAAGTGTCCCTGCCAAACGATGAAAATACATTTGGTCGTTCATGGTTGGCAACATGGACTAGAGGTTCCACTTAAAAAAAGTGAATTATGTACTGCCAACCCAAAACAATTGGGATTATTATCGTGATTTGGCAGTTTGTGCATTGCTAACCCTGTAAATTGACTCATTCCAATTAAGTGGAGCTAAGTTACCAAAAATGTTCTATTTATTTAGGGTTCCAATTAAAATAAAATTTAAAAAGTAACATTTCTAATATTAATGAGATGATTTGACCATCTTAATGATTTTGCAAGATCCTTTAGCCCTCTAATTGATAATTTTCTTTTGTACATATTGTACTTCTTTTCACCTGTTAATACAATGGATTGGTTTTAAAACACCCTGGTCCTCAACAAAAGAAAATATTTTTTCTTGAAAACAAAAGGTAGCTTAATCATTATTATTATTGTCACCCATGTTTCTTAGCCACAACAGAGGAGACTACATATTATGATGCGATATGGTCATAATAACATCATAGCGATGAGCTATTGTAATCCCGTAATGGGTTGAACGGTGGTGAAGAACGGGTCCCAACCAAATATATTGTAACCCTATTTATAAACATCGTGACTTATTGAACCGTGATAATCCACATTGCCATGTTTTTTGATCACGACTATGAATTAAATTATATTTTTCATCAAATTATATTTTTCCTAGTCCACAGCCACATAGGGCCGTCAAAGCAGCTTGTAGCATCGTGCTCTGCAGCACAAACTTGCATTGTTGATATCATGCGAACTATTTCCCTGCTCATTGTCCTCTCCGCTGGAGAACTTTGATCAAGACCTTAGACTGTTAACATCGGACGGTAGAGTTAACACATAGTTTACTACTGGCTAGCTACTTTGTCAAACCCCTATTTTAGACGGTAGCATATCGGTATGTAAATATTTTACTTCTCGCACTTGAGTGTATTCGATATACTCCCTCAGGCATGATACTGATAGAAGTGCTTTTTAAATCTCAAAATTCTTGGATGTAATCTCTACGACTTGTAGAATAATCTCATAAACAAAATAGTGCCTTGAGATTGAATAGAGACTTTTCAATTTTTGAAAGGTTATATTTCATCGTCATCGTCAAAGCTTATTTTTAACTAATTGAGGTCGGCTACATGAGTCCTGGTCTGCCATCTTACTCTATTAAAAGGCGTAGTCTTAGTAACGTTTTAAGTCTCAATATCTTTTCTTATTGCTTCGAACCATATCGAAATACTAGATCTTAGTGTTACAAAAACTTAAAAATTAAAAATTTTCTTTTAAAAATAATCATCTAATAATTTTTGAGATTGTATATAATGAGACTATTTACTTTTGATACAAAGAGCTCATAATTATTTATATCCATCTGATGTGAAGTCTCACAGCTTGGGTGAATCACAAAATTCAAGAAAATTTCGTTTGAAGTCTGAGTTTGGCCAATGGAATAAATATAGTGATCCAATTTTACATCTAATGGTCGAGATTAATTGTGACCACCTTAAATTAAAGATAAATGGTCTTAGTATACTTTTCCATAATTTTTATAGGATTCCTAAATTTCAGGCTAAAAAAATATTTGACCGAAGAAGTAGATACACAATATGCTCCCGCAGGAACATAGTATAGGCGCGCAATTGCTCCACGTTCGTCCCTTGCGGCGTCGTGTGAGGAGTGGGTCAGGTAGGGAGCGGAGAGAGGGAGGGCGAATGGGAGGGAAGAGGGAGCCGAAAAATTTTGCAGGTTCAAAAGGGCAGCACTCTCCGCCCAAAGCACAAAAGCCATGTAACAGGTGGACTTTCATATTTCTCTCTCCCCTTTGAAGCTCCGTTTCCTGGTTCCATTTCTCTAGGTTTCGAAGGAAGAGGAGGAGACATTTATCGCAGCTGGAATCGATTTGAAAGAGAGAGAGATGATCCCATTTCGCTGGGTTTTGAGTGCGAAGATGAGCATATGACAGCCGATTTTGATTGGAGAACATTCATAGCTAGAAGGCTTCTGTGATTATATTTCTTCATATCATGGCGTCGTGATAGAGCGTGATTCATTTTCTCAGGGTTTCAAAGAAGCAGGAGGTGCGTGCCACAGGTCTGAGAGAGAGAGCGAAAAGAGAGAGATAAAGGGAGAGAATGGTTCAGTCGGCGGCGGCGGCTGGGTGCCAGGTGAGATGTGCAGGGTGCAGGGGCATCCTGAATGTGGCGGCTGGAATGACTGAATTCTGCTGCCCCAATTGTCAGCTTCCCCAAATGCTTCCTCCAGAGCTCAGGGGAGTCGCTGCCAAGGGCATTGACCCCACGAAGATCCAGCTGCCCTGTGCCCGCTGCAGTGCCCTCCTCAATGTGCCCCATGGCCTCTCCAAGTTCACCTGCCCCCAGTGTGGTGTTGACCTTGCTGTCGACCTCCCAAAGCTTCAAAACTACCTTCTCTCCTCCTCTTCCTCCTCAATCTCCCCATTCCATCAACCCCCACCACCGCCACCGCCCCCCGAAGAGATCAATGAGGTTCTATCTATTCTCTACACTTTATTTGTTATTTTGCTTGCTTGGTGTTGTTCTCTCTTCTCATTCCTTTTCTTTTATACTCTTCCCATTTTTTAGTTAGGTACAATGATTCTGATAGTTGACAGTAATTGCTTTTGTTTGATTGGTACTATTCTCTACATCCCCCTCTTATATTCTCTTTCTTCCTTTCTCTTCATTTCTCTCTCTACTTTATTATGTTCTTTTGATGTTAGTTATATTTGATGGTCAATGGATGTTTCTGGCACAATTTTCCCTCCAGTTTTTTGCTTTGTTTTGGGTTTGCTTGTGTTGGTGTACTTATTTGCTTGTATATTTGTGCTGTTATTGTTGTAAGTGTTCTGTTTTATTGGATTTGCTTCTGGTGTGATTTGCTTCTTGACTTAAGTTAGGAGGTATTCCAGGGATCTGCATTTTGTGACTCCTAAGGTATCTATTTTTTTTGAATCTGCATTTTAAGGTATCTATTTTGGGTACTCTTTTTAAACAAGTGGCTGAAGATGGTAACAAAATGCTCCATGTGGTCTTCTAATAGACTTAAACAGTTCATTGTTATGATTTCACATAAATATAAATGAAAATGCTAAAAATAAATAATAACATTAGAGATAGCATTTTCAAAGGGTTAAACCTCCTTACGAGCCACATCAAGGGGGCTAGTCCTCCATTAGGTTTTCTCTTTAATTTTCCTCCTCCTTCATATCGTATAACACCTTTATTTATCATTTCTGACTTAGTAGAATCTTAACCTTAAATTTGAATTCCAAACCTCTATTAAAAGGGAAAATGCATTGTTACCCCTTTCTATCTAACTCCCTTCTAAGCAAAACAAAACCTCAATTTAGCTCCAACTTACCTACTTAACCCAAAACCTTCCTTTTTAGAAGATTTACATAATCGCTTCCTATTTTAATAATTTTCCTAATTCTTAGGTTTCTAACATTCCATGATCCTTAAAACCAACCTTGCCCTCAAGGTTGTCTGATTTGGGCATTTAGCGCCATTGCACTCTTGATCTTCTTGATCATCCTTTTGTTTTTAGAGATCATTTCCAATATATTGGTTTTTGACTTCTAATACTCCCTACATCTCTTTGCAAATTTGTTTTTTCATTTGGGGTCCCTTGTGCTGCTTTGTTCATCTATTTGGAACGCTTGACCTCCTTCTTATTGTTCATCTTTTCAAAATTCTCTTTAACTTTCTTTGTTCTTCCTAATTATCTCGTAACACCTTTATTTATCATTTCTAGTTAATAAAACCTTAACTTGAAGCTTGAGTGAAACCTCTATTAGAAAAGGGAAACTAACTATATCCTTATCCCTATCTATCTATTTTCCCTCTAAGCAAAATAGAAACTCAATTCCAACATATCTACCTAACCCAAAACCTAATTTTTTATTCTTTAGAAGATTTATATAGCTGATACCTATTTTAGATATCTTCCTATTGACTAGGTTCCGAACATTCATCCCAAAAATGTTGCAAGTGCCTTGATGGGGAGTTTGCCTTGAAAGCTGGAGTGATATAATAAGTGAGGTCCTTGCAATATTGTTGAAATTACATCAAAACACCTTTGGTAATGGATTTATGGGTGCCCTAACTTGGAAAGATTTGTGAATATTAAACACAATAGAATGATCCCCAATTCTTAATGTTGCATAATTTGGGATGAAAAGTTCTTTGACTATGTTCTGCATTTTGATTGTGTTGCTTTGAAACGTGGGGCTGGTACTCTTTTGTTTTATGCATTCCACTTACACATGAAGTTTGAATATTGGGGCATTTTTATGGTGAATATTGGTTTCATTCCTCAGATTCCATGTAAAGAACCAAAACCTTATAAGTCGAATCAATTCATGATTAAAGTTCAATCATTGATTCTATTGTCTCTTACTACGCAGGCTTGGCCATTGTTGTATGGTATGTCTTATGATATAAATGTTGTTCATATTGCACATCAGCTTACCCACCGTTTCTTATGACCCATTGAGGTCAACTCGGACCTGGAGCAAAAACTTAAGTCACAATAAGATTTGGTTAGGTCAATTTTTGTTTTTAAGTGAAACAATTCCCATCCTCCCTTCTGCTCCAACTTTTTCATTGATTCAATAGCCTCCAGATGAAGACTTTAACTTTGACATCCATTCGCCTATCGCGGTGGACACCCATGAACTTGAAAGGATAAAAAGAGGCAAGCTTAGTATGGGAGCCATGATTCAGATAATGGTTTGTATTTTGAGGGCAACATAGTCGACATTGCTGACACTCTCAGACACGATGCTGGCGCGTCTTAGTAAAGTGCCTCTCCCAAAACCCCAAAGTCTTTAGAGAATAAGCTAATTTACATTATGATATTAATTATGATTCCCCTGCCCATCCTTTAAGCAGGTTCCTCTCCTTGCTTCTTTATCTTTGAGCCCTAAGAAGCGTAGGTCTAGAAGGAAACAATCCCTACACCCCACTCCCTAAATGAAGATCCTCTATGGGAATATTAGGGGGCTTGGTAGTCATACCAAGCCTAGCACAATTTGTTTCTTTCCACTCAACACCTTGAAATTCTTGGCCTTTTTGAAACCGAGCTCTCGTTCCCGAATTTATCCTTAAATCAAGGACACTTGGGGTAGGAGGCCCTGTAGCTGGGTTGCTAAAGTCTCTCTGGGGGCATTTGGGTGCTTTGGTACCCTACCATTCTACAGGCCATTTCATTTTCTATTAGGGACTTTTCCATCAATGTCCTCTTTCGCTAAATCTCTGATAATCCCTCATCAAAGTTTCCTAGGCTACGGTCCTAATTGTCCTGCTGTCTGCCGAGCCTTTGACTTGAGCTCCTGTGGGAAAGGCCCTCTACTGACACCCTTTGGCTTCTTCAGGTTGACTTTAATGTCGTCAGATGGGATCATGAGAAGAGCTACGGAGGACGCATCACTACTTCTATGAGAGCCTTCTCTGACTTCATTGATAGCTTTCCCCTTATGGATATTCCACATTTAGGGGTCTCCTTCACTTGGTTTAACCATGCTGCCTCTCCTGTCATGACTAAGATTGATAGATTTTTGGTTTTGAACTCTTGAGAATCTAGATTCCCAGGAACATGTTCTTTTGTCCTCCCTAAGATAACTTCTAACCATAAGCCTATCCTCTTGGATACAAACCCCATCCCTTCAGTAATATTCCTTTTAGGTTTAAACTGTTTCGGCTTGATGAACCCTCTTTTCCGCAGTTCTTTAGAAGCTGCTAGACTTCCTTTTTGGTAAGAGAATGGGTTGTTTTAAGATTATTTAAAAACCTTTAGCTCTTGAAGGGCTCTATGAAACAGGGGAGCCACAATATCCCGGGTAACTTCAGGGAACAAATTCAAGAATGCACCACTCTTATTCATTCCCTGAACACCCTGGAGAAAGTTAGAGCTCTCTCAACCCTAGAATTGGCGGACAGGTTGTTTGCTAAACAAACTCTTTTGCAACTCCTCAAAAAGGAAGAGACCTTTTGGTATACACGGTCTAAAATAAAGTGGCTCAAGGCATGAGATTGATACACCGCCTTCTTCCATAAAACCACCAGCTCTAGAAGAAGAGGCGATGCTATTAATACATTCTCTCAGCCTGAGCAGGTATAATCATAGTCAGATGTTTTAGAAACCTCCTCTCATCGCCCACTAGGCTTAAGCCTCTCTCCTCTCCTTCTCTTCCTTATCTCCTAATGATGCAACTTTTCTTAAAAGGGTCGTTGTTGGAGGAAGAAATTCATAAGGCCGTTCTTGACCTAGGTAGGGAAAGCCCTTGCTTTCCCATCGCCATCTTCCAAGAATTCTGGGATATCATGGCTCCTGACCTCTTAGCCTTCATGAATTTTTTCATAGAAGCTGCCTGAACTTCGCTAGAAATTGTACTTTCATTGCTCTCATCCCCAAGATTGAAGGGCCGAAAAGTTGAGAGACCTTCGCCCTCTTAGCCTTGTTGACTCATCCTACAAAATCCTGGCCATGGTCCTTGCTAATCGCCTCCAAGCCATTTTACACTCTGTCATTTCCTGAACTCAATCCGCTTTTGTTGCCTATTGGCAAATACTTGATGAGGCTCTCTTCGCCCATGAAGCCATTCATTCTAGATTCAACTCTGGGCTTGAGGGCCTTGTCATTAAGCTTGACTGGGAAAAGGCCTATGACAAAGTCGATTGGGACGTTCTTGACGAAATGCAGAAGGGTGTTGGCATCAAGTGGAGATCCTGGATCAAGGCTTGTATTTCCAATCCTCAGTTTCTATTCTTATTAGTGGATCCCTTGTTGGTTTCTTCTCCACCTCCAGAGGCCTGAGGTAAGGAGACCCGCTATCCTCTTTCTTGTTCACCATCATTAGTGAGCTCTTCTTTAAATCTATCTCTAGGCTCTATGATACAGGTGTTCTTGGGGGCTTCCAAACTTCTTCTAGAGGTCTAGTTGTTTCCCATCTCCTTTATGCCGACGACACCTTGATTCTCTATGGTGCCGACCTAGCTCAATTGGATAATCTTTGGTTGTTCCTTTGATACTTCATAGTTACCACTAGAGTGGAAGTTAAAATGCTAACTTTGGAAAGGAAGATACCTCTCTCAGGCAGGTCGCACTACTCTTATTAAAGCAACTCTAGCCAACGCTCCGGTTTACCTTATGTCACTTTTCCAAATGCCAGTCTCTGTGGCAAACCGGTTGGAACAACTAATGAGAAACTTTCTTTGGTCAGGCCAAGCAGGAAATCTAAGTGTCACTTGATTTCTTGGGATAAAGTTTGCCTACCAAAACAATAGGGGTCCTAGGGATTAGGATCCTTAGAAAACATAACCAGGCCCTCCTAGATAAATGGTGGTGGCGTCTCGCAACCCAGATTGATTCCCTTTGGGTTCGAGTTTTGCGCCATAAATATAAGATGGCCGAAGGTACTTGGGTGCTAGATTTGAGAAATCTCAACAAGGTCTCAAGAGCGTGGAGATCTTTCACTTCTTCCCTT